TTGCCATCAGAGAAGCAGATCAAAGAAGGAAAAGCCCTCCCGTTTTCATAACATTTTATGATTTTGGCTGTAGCGTTTAGATGTAAGCCAGTTTCATCAATAAACACCAGCACGCTAAAATTCTCAAGTATTATCTTTCACCAGTTGCACTTGCTAAATGTGTGCTGAATTTAACCAATTCCCCTTTCCAAGCGATAGGAATACTATCCTTACTGGAATTAATATCAATGCTTTTTTTAAAAAGGAGAAAATGTAGTCTTTGGACTACGGTACTTTTACCAACAACCTTCATTCTCATCTCACAGACTGGCTCTATATGTCTTTTACTAAAATCAGTGTGCTTAATGAAAAAATAAAGAATAGCTCATTACGTATGATAATTAATCTCTGAAATTAAAAACTGCCCTCTATCCAGCTGATTTACAAAGAATGTCTAAGTCGGCACAAGAAGGTGCTTAATAATCTGTCTTCTTAAAAACAAAATAAGGTTAAAAGCCAATAATTTTTGAAGGTGAAAGGCTACTTTCCAAGATAATACATGATTTCAGTTTCTAAATCTTATACTGGTAAATATATCAATTATTTTGACGTTGTGGTAGCAAGCCTTTAGAAAAAAAGGCCTGAAAGAAATGAGTTTCGGTTTCCGGGTCGCCTACTCCTTTTCCGCGCAATCTGGCCCCCTAAATCTCGAGTTTATAAATAATTCAAGATTATGCTTCCGACTAGGGCAGGACACAATTACCGTCTTTGACAGTTGCATAGAAGAGGCACCAGGGGGCACTGCAGGACCATGTTTTGTGATTTTAGGCGCCATTTTGGGCAATAATTTCTTGGGGGATGGGGGAACTGTTAACATTCTGAGCCCGAGACGTCATTTTATTTATTGCTTCCAATATCTTATCACCACTAAGCTTAGCTAGTGAGGCATGGAAGGTTATTTTAAAGGACAATGCGCTACAAAGAGACACAATTAAGCTTCTTCGTTTACCTTCCCGTAGAATGTGGGCATGGGTGTGAGTGTGTGTGTGTGTGTGTGTGTGTGTGTGTGCGCGCGCGCGCGCGCGCTCGTGTCCGTGCTTTATTGTTAGCAAACATTCGCAATTAAAACATTCAGGGAATCCTAAAATTTAGCACTAGCCCCAAAATATTAATGTTGGGGAGCAAAACGATCGTTTTCATTGTTACTGCCTGTGTAAAAGTGTTTATCTGTTAATCCTATCGTCAAGTATTTATTGAAGCCCATTATGCCCGCGGTCTTAACCCACGAGGAAAACATTTCTCTTTCCCCCTGCAGCACCAGAATCTGCAAGTGAAAACTGACACTTCTTTTTAAATCACTTGTTTTTTTCACTGCTCTCAGAAGGAATACAGATTTCAAAAGAAAATAGTAAACTCAGTGCTTTCCAAATGTGACCCAGTCAGACTGAGCAAGCAACAGTAAAAGTCCGGCTGGAACTGCATGCTATAGTGACAGAATTTCACTGATCGAAGCAAACGGATGATTGTGGGTTTAGAGACATGGTCTTCCCTTTGTTTTGCTTTCCTTTCAAAGTCCTCTGTGTATTGGAATGAATACCTTGAAATTCAGCAAGAGACCAAGGAACGTGCCCTACTTTTGGTGTCCTCAGAGCGTGTTCCCCGGGCGATACTAGCACCCAAGACTGTTCAAAAGGGACACAGAAAGTCTGCTTCTCCCCACCGCTCTCCACTGGTCCCAGTGGTTAATACAAACAAGTACTTGGTGACATAAATATTTTATATCCATTATCTCATTTAACCATCACAGAGACTCCACAAAATAATCTCCCTCCCCATCCAAAAAACCTCCCTGAGGTTCAAAGAGGTCAATTCTTTGCCTAAGGTCACACAATAGTATTCACACCCAAGTCTATCTCCAAAGACCGTATGCCCTCTGCTAGTCAATGTCAGTCTCCCCAACAAAGAACCCGGATTGAAATGAACAGCTGTTAACTGACTGGCTTCGGAGTTCAGTTTAGACAGGTATGACAGACCCAGCTGTGCACCTGTCTAAACCTGCCCCCTCTATTTCCTGTGCCCACAGCTTGACCAGGTTTCCCAGGCTCACTTGCAGTGAGACTTGGCCAGTGGAACGTGAGCAGCAGCGAGCCTGCCATTTCCGGGCCTGCTCATCCCCTGCACCACCCTTCACACTCGCTCTTCACTTGCCTCAGCCGGATGTGCAAATCCAGCGGCAAACTGGGGCCCTTGGGGACGGCGGAGCAGCAAGACTAAAGACGCCTGGGTCCCTGAGTCCTGCGTAAAAATTGCTCACCAAATACCTCCGCGTCCGTGAGCGGGATGCACCTTCCACTGTGTTAAGGCATCGTGACTTGGGATTGTCTGTTAAACAGCCTTCAATAAATAAAGCACAAGGAAACATAATGAGGTTTCATAAGCGTTTCTGTTGGCCCATCCAGGGGCCGTGGGGCCTTGCCTGGTTCTGTGACAGTGAACTTGTCACATTCTTCCTGGGCATCAGGAAAAAAAACATCCTTGAGCTGAGGATCTCTAAGGACTTTCTCTGACCCTAGAGAATCGCGTAATCCTGGGGGGCGCTGCCCTCACCCGCTGAACCCTTACCCCTCCTCCATCTTTATTCGTAGGGGCGAAGTTGCCAGAACCAGAAGGGACTTCGCCAAATTCTTACCTACCCAAGAGTTTTCCTTTTCACATAACAACTTTACTCCGTTCTGCTGGGCGGCTGTAAGCAGACACACACTCCCAACCACAGCAGCAATGTCAGTACACACTGTGGATGGATGGGTGGCTTCTAAGGGCTCTACGCCGGCTTGTCCTGACTTCCCTGCCCTCAGTGGTCTGTGTCGGATTATAATAAACATCTTCCACCGCGAGGAAATATACATGATGGATGTCAGAAGTAGAAGGGCTTGGGCTCTTGGAAAGAACTGATTCCTCAAATGACACCACTTTGATATGTGGAAAACAGTATACTTAAGCTATTTTAAATACACCTCCTATGGTTATACGAAATCATTTTCTGTCACCGAATGTGTTCAAAATGAAGCTAATGTTAATGTAACAAAAGCAGAAGTAAGAATTTTAGTGACACAGACTTCTGGACAAAGCTGGAAATGAGTGTGCCCTTTGCAGCGTTTGCGATTCCAGCCGGGTCCACTGCGCAGAAAGCGCCCTCTTCTGGCCTGTGTCGGCACTTCCAAGAAGAGGATGAAAATGCTGAGTACTCACAAAAGACTCCTGACACAGCCTCCGTGGCTTTGTGCGGCCTAAACTTTCTGGAAGCAGGGACTTCGGCGACTCTCCGCCTCTGGTGCTCACTGCTCATGACACAGATTCGCGACTTAGATACTGCAGGGTTTCTGAAAACCAGTAAGGGCTGATGCTCGCATTTTTGAGAATTGTGGCAAGTTGAACATATAGATATAAAGCCCAAGATTCAGTTGCATGTGGCGGAAGCATCTAGTTTTAATGTGTCCAAGAAGAGAGAGATAAGAGAGCTGCTGGGGGGCTGGGGATTTAGCTCAGCGGCAAAGCGCCTGCTTAGCAAGCGCAAGGTCGTGAGTTTGGTTCCCTGTACCGGAGAAAAAACAACAACAAAAAAAAGAGAGCTGCTGGGAGAACAGGGATGTAGCATGTGTCCTTGATATTAAAGTAAATTTGATTAATTATTATGTGGACAGTCTTTGGGGCTGGCCACTATTTCCCCTCCTTCCCTTTTGTAATAGATCCCTCTGGTCCTAGGAGGGTAATTTGGAGTGGGTAGGGTGAGCCCTTGACCCAGCCTCGGCCATTCAGAATTCTTCTTCCTTCATCAGCTTCATTGGCCAAAAATTTTACATCCCTGGAGTTTTCTGCTGAACTCTGCTGGCTCTCTAAGATGTATTTCCATCGTCCGTCGTCCAGAGGATCCTAACCAGTAAAGCTATTGACAGGACCCAGCATGTATATAGTTCGAAAATACTGGCACCTGGTTCAACTCACATAATAAATTACTATAATTTCAAGGGTAAAATCCAAGGTTAATGATGAAACAAATTAATGCATAGTTAAAATATTAAAGTGTTCTACCACTACTACAAGATGAAATAAGGTTAATTAAAGTAATTTTCAGAATATTAACAGGACCCTAGTTCTAGCAAGTGTGGGAACACTGTCAGCACAATTTGCATCATTAAAGGGTTTCGAACAATTTATTGAGCCATAGAGAGAGCACTTATATTTTGTGAAGGTCAAAAAAAGGGTAAACTGTTTCACTTTATGTTCATAAGCTTGTTTTTTTACATCCTGTGGCATTACTATATGTAAGATTTAAACATCTATAAGAATTATTGGTAGATTTCTATTTATGAAAGAGGTTATCTTGCTTATAGGAAAAATAATTGATTAAGTTTAACCATTCACAAATATACAGTTATTTGTAGGTACTTGGACATGAAGATTTGTCAGAGCACGATAATTTGTCATTTTTAGTGCTTCTTCAGCTGCCTATAAGAGCACAATTGTGTACCAAATGGCCATGTTTCTACAGCGCTGCTCCTTTGATTGATAATGAGAAGGTACAGGTACCATTTTTAATTTTTAAAATGTAAGATTATTCTGGAGTAAATTAACCTAATCTCACAGCACAAGAAAATTAATATCAGTTCATTACCTAATTGCAAAAATAATATTAACTCGAAGAATCTAAATCTCCTTCTGACACATATTCAATTTTTATAATGTTGCATGACAGTTGTTCTGGATTATGCGTGGTAGCTTCCCGTGTCAGCGTCTCTGCTCGTTGGAAATGTTGGGAGTGGGGACATGAATATTCCAGTGGTGGTGTAGCAGTTGCTTTTCGAATTGATCAAGTATGGCAGTCCAGGAGCTGGGGATTTAGCTCAGCGGCACAGCGCCTGCCTGGCAAGTGAAAGGTCCTGAGTTCGATTCTTGGTACCAGAAAAAAAAAAAAAAAAACAAAGAAAAGTATTGCAATCCAGACACCTCTGAAATACCTTGGGTATTTGTCATGGCAAGTCTGCTATAAAGTCATCCGGTGAGAATTTCTCAAGGCTTCTGCTCCCCTGGCATATGTGGATTTTTTCCAAAGCAGCCCCACAGCTCTTAGTAGGAGAAGTCAAGTTTTCCAGCCATCCTTCTCCAGTCTGCCCTGGGAGTCAAACAGAGCCGGCACTGTCTTGGGCTTGGGCTGTAGCACCCTGTGGGCTGGAGCCCACCTTGTCCCAGCATGAGGGTAGCCATGTTTCCCTGGGCTGGAGGGGAGGCGCTAAACTCCCAAAGTCTCTCCCTGACCTTAAAGCTTTCCAAGTTGGGAAATTTATGTCGCAACCTTGAGAAATGCAAAGTAAATACAGAGCCTGCCAGCTTTGTGTTTTCCTGTTGACGAATTCTCTAAATCCAGACTGCAAGGCCTCCCAAGACTGAAGTCTCCTCCAAAAGCAAAGTGTTAACCCTGCATCCTGCTTGCTTTTCCTACCAGTACTGCACGTCTTTCTCCTCCATCTACAAAGTTCCAACATTTCTTTGGGCTTTGCTTGCTCTGTGTGTAGCTCTCTCTCTGATGAATTCACTCCTCTATGTAGCACAGAACAAACAAGGGCCCCAAACAGAGGAGGAAGAAACCACTACAAGAGATCGGAAACTTTCAAGAGCTGCTTGCAATGAGACTAGCTAGCACCCTGCTCCTGCCATTCAGTAAGACTGGCTTAGGTCTTCAAGTGACACAACTCTTTAGAGCTAAACTTGTCCCGCTCCAAGCGCTTGTCACACGCTCTATTGCAACTGTGGTTTTCATCTTTGAATCATAAATCCTTGATTTTTCTCTTGGAAATGTAACAAAGTCACACTGTATTTATTCACTGTTAGTGTTTCCTGAACATAAATTATAGGGATTATAGGCCCATCTAGGTAAACAGGACCATTTAAAATCCCTTATTTTTAGTGTTTCCTCTGACTGACTGATTTTACCACTTTAAAAATTTAAAATATTATTCTGATTATAAAATTACCACTTCCTCTTTATAGGAAATGTGGGAAATGGGTATAAAAATGTTAAAAGATTTGTTTGTAATCTCATTTACCGTTAAGTATTATTAACCTTGGGTATATTTTTTCTTTGTTAATTGTATTCTCTGGGTGTAGACTCTTGTTCATTTCATGTTGTATTACAAATGTTTTTTCAATACTTACTTGTCACTAGTAAACAATCCTCGGAACAGATTTTTAAAATGACTTCGATAATATCCCATCATAAGATTATACCATTGTTTGTAACTAATCTCCCATAGTTCAGTATTATAAATAGTATTCCCGTAAACATGTTTCTGTGTAAACCTTTGACCACATATCTCATTAATTCCTTAGGATAAATTCCTAGAAGTGGAGTTAGTAGGTCAAAGTGTAGGGCGAGTATTAAGGTCCTTAGTACATTTTGCCAAATTGCTTTTTCCAAACAATGCTTATCAACTTCTGCTCCCACCACTGTGAGGGAGAGGCGCTGGCTTATGGAGCATTCTCCCCCACTTGGAGGATTGCTGGCTTTTATTTTGGCCCACATAGTAGACACTTCTGCTGCTAAAACAGGTGCCAGGACTCAAGCTTGGAAGGACTGTAGACTGGGGGTCAGGAGACCTAGTCTTGAATTTTGTCTCTTATTATGCAGATCTGTGACTTTGTGGAAAACTCTTAGCAGCAAGAACACAATTGAGAGAACAATACTGACTTCCCAAAATGGGTAAGGAATGTGGAAAAGCTTTGGAAATGTAAAATTGGTCTAGTTTATTAATGAGAGGTGCCTGCCTTTTGTTACACGTGTGCAAGAAATATTAGGAACTCAGCACTCTATATAAATTATAGGCAAAAAATAAAATTTTACAGAAATATTGATTTGAAGTTTTCTTTTTAAAGCTAAGAAGAGTTACTATCCCATCAGCATATTTCCTCACATCCCTGAGATCCCCCAAACAAATTATGCAGTCTCTGGTGTTCTGCAGGTGAGCCTACCTGACTTCCATGTGTGAAATAGAATTGGATTTTTTTTGGACTACATAGACTACACTAAGCATTACAACTTTTACGGAAGGTGGATTCTGGTGTAATTGACATTTAGATGGGGGTAGCAAAACCTCAAAAATACAACTGCAAACAATGACTTTCACAACTCACTACAAAGACTATCCCCCAGTCAGGCCCGTCCCTCCCTACCACCCCAACATGTGATCTTCATTGTCTTTCCTGCCTCCCTCTCTCCATCGGTAGCTATATTCCCTCAAAGGTTTACCGAGAACTTGCTTTCTCCGGAAATCTCCCCCAATTACCCAGAGTGAAAGCTCCACCTCCAAAGGTCTCTTAGCTATGGCTTTCACAGGCTCGCTCTGAATTCCCATTGCTTTGTAAGGTCCTTGCTTCGTTTCTGGGGTGTAGTCCTATTCTCCCCATCCACGCTGTGAACTCTTTGAGGAGACGCTTCCTTTGCCTTGGAGTTTGTGTGTATACTCTTTGCCATAAACTAACTTTCCCCTGAGTTTGATAAAGAAAACTTTGCCAAGGGCCAGAGAGTTGTTTTCCCAGTAACTCTCACTGGGGAAATTTTCTCTCGACTTTGTCCCTCTTGGCAGGAGGGGATGGAGGGCAGGTTAGTGCCTCCAGCCACATTTCTTCTGGGGACCATTTTTTCCTTATTAATTGTGCTGTCAGGATTAAGAATAGCTCACAAGCCAGAGGCAGAAGCTAATGTAGACAATTTTTTTCTTTTCTGCTTTTTTTTTCTCACCCAACTCCCTGCCTTCCTCCCTCTTTGCTAAATATATATCTCCTTTCTGATTAGAGGTCATTGTTCTTTTTTTTCTTTCCTTTTTAAACAAAACTAAGTAAGAGTTGCATTTGGTAAAATCTTTATGATTTCCAAAGAAATGTTAAAGTTATGAGGACAAGTCATATCCACATTTTGGAAAGGTGAAACTTCATTGGGTGTTAGTGACAATTCTAGGTGCATTCCAATTTCCAGAGGCTTAGTAAGGGCTTGTGTAGTTGCAGGAAACATAAATCTACACACATTAGGCAAGATAAAGGACAGCAGAGAGATTAAGGAGGTTACCCCAGCCTTTCCAATGTGAGAGGCATGAGATCTTTTGTGACTCATGAGAGAGTATGCTGGTTTTAAAGACCCTGAGAAAGACCTTCCAAAACTAAGGAATCAGGACAAGATAAGAGCAATTCTTTACTTGTCAAGAATTTACTTGTCAGAGCTGGAGAATAAGGTGGGTGATGCCTAATCAAAACTCCAATGGAATACAAAGATTGTAACATGTAAAGCTACAATTGGGGCATCGGGCCCTGGGCAACGACCCAAAATGACTTTCCTCAGACTTTACAACACAGTTACAAAAACAGTATTTGGCAACTGTCCGAGAGAGGTTCTGAGAAAGAGCTCAGCAACCCAGCCAAATCGACTCTCCTTCCAGAACTAGGTCAAAGTTGTCTGCAGCGGCTGAGGACTGGAGTCTAAAGTCAGACCACTGACCAATCAACTCAAAAGCAAATTCACTGCGGGTCTCCTTCAGAAACCATTCCTTGGGATTCGTCTGCCCCGATGGCACCATTTTCTTCAGAACATATATGAGGAGGAAAAATTGAACTCCATCAGAAGGAATCAGTTCATAATCCAGAACTTTCTGCTACTCATTCTTTGTGTGCTATTTCACAGTTCACTTCCGTCTCTACTTCCTTTTGATTTAAGAGCTATCTCCTGGGTACTGAAAAACAAAAATGCTGCAACGCTGTAAACAGTTTCCAACAGCAAGCTTTCTGCAGTGTGCAGGCTGGTGCGGCTTTATGGCTCCCAGAATCAGTCATGCCAACGCCATCCTACCCAACCTCCTGGCCTCCAGAGACACAAGATGAAGATGAGCCCACCCCTGACATTTTTAGTAGCAAACAAAAAATGAGGTGCTAGTCTACCAAGATTTAGTTCCATTGATGAACTGAATACCACTTCCTAACTTTAATCCTTTGCAATAGGCCGGGTCCAGGGATTGATCTAACAGGATGGACCCTCTTTCTGCAGTGAACCTTGCCTCTTTCCACTGTTGACCCTGAGTGGGTGAAAAGGAAGGACGATGGTCCACTTGGCAGTGAGATTCTCTTTTATTAGATTTAGAAGAGACGAACCATGTGAAAGGGCTTTGAAAATAATAAAATGCTAAGAAAACACAAGACCCTAAAAGAAATATTGGAAGGGATAACATACCACCTACTCCATGCAAACAGTGAATAAAAACTATCAATAATGTCTTAAATTCAAAGTCCACAAAAATAATCTGAAATCAGCCTGTGGAAGAGGCAAGTGTGCTCTCTAAATGAGCCAGGTGCCGGCCGCCATCTCCAGCCCCTACTGGTTAGGCTGCGTCTGCAGCTGCAGACCACCTCTGGCCACAGGACTGTGAGTGGGAGGGTTGATGTACTGGGTAGCACTTGGCCCAGAGTGCTTAGGAAGAGAGATGGATCTCATACTTGCTCTCCTCCTGCTCCAGGGATCCTATAATCACGCTGAGGTGGAAGTAACCTGACTGAGTTATCCGACAGAGATGTGTCCTTCCACTGGAGATGCAAGACTTAGTATGAGGGATGAACCACATAGGTTTCAGCTTTGTTTAATAGCATAGCAGAGGAAAAGCCATCTTTTAAAACACACAGATTTAAGATACGTAACTAACCCCAGCTACTCAGGAGGCTCAGGCAAGAGGGTCACAAGTTCAAGGACAGTTTGGGCAGCTTAGAGAGACTTTGTCTCACAATAACAAAAAAAATAAGAAGGTGTGGGGATATATCCTAGTGCATTGGGGATTCAATTCCCAGAACTGCTTTAAAAAAAAAAAAAAAAGATATAAGGTATGACCTAAACATATGGTGACCGTTTAAATTTTTAAAATTTTATTACATTAAAAGACACAATGTGATTCATCCATCTAACGATACTCCTCCTCATTTTGAACACATGTGTCCCGTCACTATGACCACTTTCTGAAGCACTTCTGGAAGTCTTCTTTCATGAGTGTCTTTATGAGGCTTGACGAAAAAAATGTGAATGTTATGGGCAAGTGCCATTCAACAGAAAGGCAGCCTAGTAAAGACATTATCATGTGTTCTCAT